GCCTTCAGCTGGGTTTTATAAAACCTTTTTGCTTTAGGCCTCCGCTGCCGTGTACAAAAAAAAAAAAGGTTCAATCAACCAGTCAATTTCAACTTCTTGCAGGAAAAAAAAAGATCTTGCAAAATTGGAATTGATTGATTGAACTTTTTAGTCCCACCCGGTCCGCCGTTACCACCACAGCCACGCCCACCCAATGGGCCACACCCACCCGGCACCCGACGATGCATAAGTGGGTTTTGGGTTGCAGTTTGGGCACTCGGTCTCTAAAAGGTTCGCCATCACTGGCATAAGGCCTTCTGCCTTGAGCAGGGGGCTGGACTAGAGGACCTCCACGGTCCCTTCAAGCCCTGGGATTCTACGTCCAGACTTTTGATACTCACCTCTCTTTGAGGAAGGAGCAACACGCATCCTTGATGTTCTGCAGCTGCAGGAAACTGGCGCCCATCAACAAAGACTGGACATTTTGCTGGTCAATGGCTAAATGTCCGTTGTAGGCAAAATTGATCAGAGCTTCCAGTGCGCTAAATGGGGCAAAGAGGAGCCGGCGGTTATTTCTATTGATTTAATTTATTAATCAGATTTGTTTATAACAGCCCACTCTATCTAAAGTGACTCCCAGAAGTGCACAGATATGCAATTTAGTCACCCAAGTCATCCGAAACATACGTGTCACCACAGAATTCAGAGTTCTTGGTTAAACTGGAGGCCCTTGCAGGATTCTAGATGTTCGTAAGCGGCACATCATGTTTCTAGTTCTCAAGGAGGTACAAATAAAGTAGAAAACCAATGCTGCTGCCTATGGAACGGATACCCTCCGCCCTGCCCCCAAAAAAGCTGGTAGTCAAAAATCTTCTATAATTGCCAGTTATCTCTTACGTAGGAAATTCAGAGGAGGAGGAGGAGGAGGAGGAGGAGGAGGAGGAGGAGGAGGAGGAGAGCTGTGGAGTGCTGTCTGAGCTTGGGGGTTTCCTTGCAGACGTTTCATGACCCAACTAGGTAACATCATCAGTGCTGGAAGGGAGTGCAAGAAGCAAACCAGGCTCCTTTCTGGCACTGAAGTTACATAGTTGGGTCACGAGACGTCTGCAAGGAAACCACCCAAGCTCAGAGAGCACCATGGACCCCAAAGCCTTCCTCCTCCTGCTCCTGCTCCTCCTCCCCCCTTCTAGCACTGATGACGTTCCCTAGTTGGGTCATGAGATGTCTGCAAG